ATAGCACGGTGATGTCATGGCTCTTGGTTTCCATGCTGCCACAAGTAAGGAAGACCTTTATGTGGGCTGAAACAGCTTGTGAAATATGGGAACAAGCAAAATYTACYYATTCAGAACARAGACACTATGCAAAGATATATCAATTACAAGCAGAATCCTCCACTTGCAAGCAAGGGGAGAGGAGTTTCTCGGTGTACTATTCAGACTTTACATCAATTTGGAAGGAACTGGATCATTATCAAAATGTGAATTGGAAGTGCGATGAGGATGCAAAGGCCTACAAATCACTTGTTTCTCAGCAACAGGTATTTGCCTTTTCTTTTGGGGCTGAATCCTACATATGAATCCATGAGAGTACAAATCTTAGGAAGTAAGAACCTACCTTCAGTCCAAGAAGTTTATGCCCTAGTTCAGTCTGAAGAGAGTAGAAGAAGTGTGATGAACTATACAGAAGGGGAACCGATTGCACTAGCTGTCTGAGAGGGTACAGGGTCAAATGTTGGAGGTTCTTTTAAAAAGGGAGATTCACAGAAGAGAGTGGATGACAAAGACAAACTTTGGTGCACTCACTATCAAAAGTCCAAGCACACTAGAGACACATGTTGGGATCTTCATGGCAAGTCGAAATGGGCTCAGGAATTGAGTAAGAAGCCAACCCAGCAGAGTTAGAAGAAATATAACTCAACAAATGTGGCATCCCAAGAGACTAGTCCCATGGTACCCCAAGAGCGACACTTTGGTTCTGACCCCAAGGAAGAGATCATCAACTCCTTTCGTGACCACTTGGAATTATATGGTAGGACACTTCGCCAGATGGATTCTGGCCCTACTCCTACCTCCTTTTCGTCTACACCAGGTAACACTACCACTGCCTTCCATGTTTTTTTTTGATGAATAATAGTAAGTTTATTGATTCAGAAGCAAATTAGAGTGAGTTCATACATCATCCCAGTGAGAGGCGCGAGCTGCAGCCCCTCCTTGAAACTTACCCCTTGCTTAGCTAACACATCTGACAAGGTATTTGCTAATCT